TTGCCATATACTCTTCAGAAAATACTGAATCACTGTCCCAGACTAAGAAGACTAAGAAGACAATGTGGGATCCTGGGTTAGATTTGGTACAAGAAAAAAGATTATTAGTGGAATAATTGGTGATGTTTGAATAAGGTCTGTAAATTGCTTAACAGTATTGTACCAATGTTAATATCCTGGTTTTAATGATTGTACTATGGTTATGTAAGATGTGAACATTAGGGGAAATTGGGTGAAAGACATGGAATTCCATGTACTATTTTTGCAAATATTTACAAATATAAAATTGTTTAAAAATAAAAATAATTTAATGAATTATAACTTAAATGCAAAACCTAAAAACCATAAAACTGCTAGAAGAAACATAGGAGAATATCTTTGTGATCTTGGACTAGGCAAAGATTTCTTAAATAGGACACCAAGAGCATGATTCATCAGTTAAAACTTGATAAATTAGACAGCTTCATGATTAAAAACTGCCCTTTGAAAGACACTGTTAACAGAATGAGAAGACAAACCACAGACTGGAAGAAACTATTTGTAAATTATATATCTGATAAAGGATTTAAATCCAGAATATATTAAAAAAAAACTTTCAAAATGTAATAGTAAGAAAAAAAAAACCCTCAATTTTTAAAAATGGGCGAATGATTTGTACACTTCACCAAAGAAGATACGTGGATAGCAAATAAGCATGTGAAAAAGATGCTCAATGCCATCAGTCATTATGGAAATGCAAATTGAAACTACAACAGAATACCACTACAAACCTATTAGGGTGGCTAAAATCTAAAAGAATGACGGACAATGCCCTTGCTGGCTTGGCTCAGTGGATAGAGCATCGGCCTGAAGGGTCCCGGGTTCAATTCTGGTCAAGGGCACATGGCCGGGTTGCACATGGCTGAGTTGGGGGCATGCAGGAGGCAGCCGATCAATGATTCTCTCTCATCATTGATGTTTCTATCTCTCTCTCCCCCTCCCTTACGCTCTCTGAAATCAATAAACACACACACACACACACACACACACACACACACACACACACACACATTTATAAAGTTAAGTATACATCTACCTTGTAATCCAGCCATTTACTCCTAAGTATCTACTCAACAGAAAATGAAATATATGTCTATACAAACACGAATGCAGCCTTATCTATATATATAAAAGCCCAAGCGACCATTATACCCGGTTGACCGAACGACCGGTTGACCGGTCACTATGACACGCACTGACCACCATGGGGCAGACACTCAATGCAGAAGCTGCCCCCTGGTGGTCAGTGCTCTCCCACAGCCAACCTCCCACGGTCCCTCCCCCCGGCTGGCCAGCTTCTATCAGGACTGGGTGAGACGGCCCTGATCGCCCTAATTGCCCCGATTGCCGGCCAGGCCAAGGGACCCCACCCATGCACGAATTCGTGCACTGGGCCTCTAGTTTGTAATATTGTCCCAAACTGGAAACAACCAAATGTTCATCAATAAGTGAATGATAAATTGTGGTATATCCATACAATGGCATACTACTCAGCAATAAAATAGAATGAACTATTCATATATAGTAGGTCCTCAGGTTACGTCAGAGATCTGTTCCTACAGAGCGATGTAACATGATTTTCACCGTAAGTCAGAACTCACCTACATAAGCACCTATGTCACTCACATGGAGCACATACACAGCAGTAATGAAGTGAAACAGTAAAAAAAAAATTTAAAAGAAACAATTCCTGACCTTTACTTGTGGTAAATAAATAATAAAAAACATAAAGCACATATGTACATACGTTGAAATGACGGAACTTTTTGTTCTAAATAAATGGGAGATGGCGATGTAACCATGAAATGACGTACGTCGATTCCGACGTAACCCGAGGACTGTCTGTATATAATAATGTAAATAAATCCCAAAAAAATTATGCTGAATAAAAGAAGCCAGACCTTCCCCAAGAGCATATACTATAAGATTCCATTTATATAAAATTCTAGAAAATGCAAACTACAGTAATGACAAAAGCAGATTAGTAGTTTCCTGCAGATGAAAAGGAGGGATTATAAAGGAGCATGAGTACACTTTTGGGAGTGATGGAATGTTCACTATCTTGATTGTGGTGGTATTTTCATGGGTATATACAAAAGTTATCAAATTATATGCCTTAAATATGTATGGTCTATTATATGTCAATTATACCTCAATAGAGCTGTTTAATCAAATATATTTAGATAGCAAGCACAAATTATCCCAATTAGGTTCTGAGAATGTCAACAGATTGAGGATTCACCAAAATGGCCAGCCCCATTTGGCACCTGAAGATAAGGAAATCCTGAGTAGAATCACCAACCATCAGTAACATTTCAGAAACACCTTCCGCCACTTCTCTCCGTCTCAGGCCCTCACTAGCTAGCTAGTTTCTGGAGGGAGTCAGGAGACCCAGTCATGACCATGAACATGACTCTGGGAGCTGCCTGGCTGGTCACTCTTTAGCTGCCTTTGGGAAGAGCTGAGTTGACACTGGAGTATTTTCATAGCTCAGGAAGAGGGGGTGGAAGAAAAGAAATGAAGGAAACAGAAGGAGCTGGCGACAAGTTAAGGAGAGTAACTATCCACAACTATGTAACTCAGGGCTGGAAGGGAGCTAAGAGAACACATTTCAATACTTTTTTTTTTTTTTTAAATAAGAATACCAAGATCTTGATCTTCCCAACACAGAATTGGGGCTCTAACCTAGGTTCTCAATTTTTCATCAACACCTACTTCCAGCATGCCAGCGGTCACTGTTTATGGTGTAAGAGATGATGGCTTCTGTTTCATTCAACATTTGTGGAGTATCTATTTATAAGAATAGGATAAATCCCAGAGTCTGAAGTAGCTCACAGGCTAGCAGAGACAGGTCTACACACAGAGGAGACTTTCATAATACAAGTATGATTGTAATAAATGCTATAAATGAGGTGCAAACGACATAGTATGAAGATACAGAGGGGAAAAACCTTCCGATTTGGAGAAGGGATTTGGTGATGGGAGGAAATCAAGGAAGTCCTCCCCAGAATGGCAATAACACCCGTTTCGAAGGTACTCCATCAATGTTTGTGTCCTTCGTCTCTTCACATTATGACTCCAACCTCACTTTCTTATCACACCAGACTGCTTCGTTCCTGACATTCCAAATGTTTGGACGTTCCGAAGTTTCATGCCACTGTGCTTTTTGCATTCGAAATTCTCTCCTGGGGTGGAATGTCCCATAGTGAGCAAAAGGTTACAAGAAATGGAGCTCGGCAGAATATAATGCAGGTAATAGTAGAGCTCAGGAGAATGTGAAGCATATAGTTACATTAAGCCCACGAACTATGGAGGCCACCTTCAGGCTCTTCATTTGCAAAAAAAAAAAAATTAAAAAAAAAAAAGAGAAAGACAGTAATAAGATTCATCTCATAAGATTATAGAGTATATTAAAAGGAATCCCCGCAAAGCTTTTAGCATCACATCTTGCGCGGACCACGGCTCAGGAAACACTAGCAAGTATTTATCCGTGCGCTTCTACCTTCTCCGCCCGCCCAGGAGCCACCCCGCTACCGCCCCGTCAGCGCCCAGACC